TCCTCTGGACATGTGCAAATTGTTCCTTCCGCTCAACACACACTAGGCAAGCAGACAGAACCAGAGTGAGGGCCTCCCTTCTACCACTCTCCTCCACAACTTGAATGGTTTCTATTCCTCCAGCTACTATTTTCCCCCCATTTAAGTCATTTTTATACGACTCTTCAGCCAAAAAAGGCTCCCAGCGGAGCTTACAAATGTCAGGGATACAACAGTTCCTGCCCTCTAGCTTACAATCTAAAAGATACAACACTTAAGGGAGAGGGATTGGGGAAATGATTTTTTATCTTAGCTGAACACAAAAATATGGTGTCTTTAAGTATACCTTCTAATATGACATTTCTACAAGGAAAACATGTCTTTGGAAGAAAGGGGATGTAGCCTTAAATATTATTATACACAGATCAATGAATACGGGTGTGTGTGATTGTCATACATGCTGATATACATGCATGGTGCACAACACTTTAGATATGGAAGAGTACAGCAAAGTCTGACGATCTTTTTGGGTGGGCATATTTTCAAATATGGGGAATTGTCATACACACATCCCTACCACTTTCTCCCCAAAATACCCTACTCAGGCAAAATCCCGCGTTTTCCAAAATCAAAAACCATCCAGGAAATATTCCCACCCACCCACAAAACTCCACCTAACTCTTCATGAACTCTACACAAATATATCCAAGCAACCACCCTCACAAATTAAAACAGATAACCCCTCAATGCTCCCAACTATTCTCCCCATGCTTACCAGGTTGCAGTGAGTCCCTGCTCCCCTTCATTTTCTTTTAAAAACAAAACAGTGGTTTCACTGGGCATGCTAGAAAGCAAAGCACCAGTTCCAGCTACCCCATCTCTCTTCCTTTCCTATTGCTTCTGGACCAAAGTGAGCCCAGAAGCATTCTAGAGAGAAGGCAGTAAAATGGGTTGAAGCTAGAGCACATTACCCCTCTGCCATCGCAAATCAGAAGACACAGAAGGCCCATTTTTGGCACAGAAACTGCTTTGGTTACATTGTATGACGACCTCTGTTGGGAGAGAGACAGGGGAAATTTGTCCGTGAATTCTCCTTGACCTCTCAGTAGGGTTGCCATATTTTGGAGAGCAGAAAAGAGGACACTATGACAGCCATAGTCATATTCAAAGCAAGTAACTGCAATTTGTCTCAAATTTTACCCCTGAAAAAGAGGACGTGTCCTGGAAAGAGAGGACACATGGCAATCCTATAAAGCAGCATTCAATACAGGATCCTTCTGGGGCAGTGTCCGAGTTAGGGGTGGTTGCATAATATTGTGCTGGTTCTGGTCCTACTTGTATGATCATTTCCGAAGGGTGATATTTGGGGAATGCTCTTCAGCCCTGTGGAGCCTTCAGTGTAGTGTTCCTCAGGGTTCAATTGTATCCTCCACGCTGTTTAACATCTACATGAGAATGCTGAGTGGGGTTATCTGGAGTTTTAGAGTACATTGTCAGCAATCTGCTGATGACACACAGCTCTGCTTCTCCTTTACATCTGCAGGTATTGCAGTGGACATGCTGGACCATTGTCTTGCCTCGGTAATGTACTGGATAGGAACCATTAAACGGAAGCTCAATCCAGATAAACCAGGCACTGCTAGTGGGTGGTTCTCTAGACTAGACGGATGGGAGATTGCCTGCTCTTAATGAAGTTACACTCCTGATCCTGAAAGAGCAGGTACACAATCTGGGGGTACTTCCAACTTGGGAGGTTAGGGATGAGCAGTGAGTTGCCCAGGTTTGCTGATGACACCACGTGGTTGCAAAGAACTCCAAAAGGATTGCTGCAAACTGGGTGAACAGGCAATATTACAGCAAATGCAATTCAAAGTGAACAAGTGGAAAATAATACAGGTTGGAGCAAAAAAAATCTTACATATACGGGGTGTGAACTGAAGAGAATTGATCAACTTTTAGAGATCTCAAGCAGGGAGCTCTTCAAGGAGGGAATTAGAGTAACAACACTAGCACAGCATTAACAAGGGATCCCCAAAAGACCATAAAATGAAGACAACAAAACAATGCAGTGAAGAATACTCCTGTTCAGGATTCTCCTCCCCCTTGCTTCTGGTTTTCCACATACACACGCACACCCAACTGTCAGTCAACATATTGTGCTCACTGAGCCTGACGAGTCTTCATTGGGTTATTTTGGGTCCATCCCCCACACTCCCCAGTTGGGTTATTTTTCCTAAATATATTTTGTTTTTCTATAAAGACTGGAATTCTCCCTTGCCAGCTGATACCTCTCATTTGAGCTTAGGTAGTGCCATTTTGGTGATGTAAGAAATAAGCACTTGGATAATAAGTTCATTATCAGTAAATAGGATTATGTACATGGAGCTACATATTGTGCACTGAAGTTGGCAGATGAAGCTGTCTTATTAGGGCCCCTGCCATCTGACATGTTTGGCAACTGCAAGATTTAGCACCTTTTTAGTGATGATTATGGTGGTCTTATTATTTATAGCCCGCCCATCAGACTGGGTTGCCCCAGCCACTCTCAGCAGCTTCCAACACATATAAAAACATAATAAAAATTTCCCAATAAAGGGCTGCCTTCAGATGTCTTCTAAAAGTTGTGTCATTCTTTATCTCCTTGATGTCTGATGGGAGGGTTTTTCATAGGGAGGGCGTCACTACCAAGAATGCCCTCTGGTTTCCTGTTATGGAATCCACTGACTACAAAGGTTCACTTGTCATCTTCCATACTGGCTTACAAAAGGCAGATGGGAGCCTATAAATTAAAAATGCTTTAAACTCTTTTTTTAATGGCTGGGTAGTGGCAGAAGGGGTCTTGTATGCCTTCTTCTTCTTTTTGTTGGTGTTAATGTTGCTAGGTATATGTAATTTTATGCTTGGAGCTTTATTATACATTAGTGTATTTTTTTGTAAACCACTCTGAGAACATAATTTCAATAAATAAATAAATGGATAAAGAACATAAATCTGTTTTTATATTGTTCTGTGGCTAGTGAGCCATGGGATATGCCAGCTGATCCCAGGCAAGTTTCCATCTAGAGCTCAACTGCAGCTTTAGTATACATGTGATTGGGGTACAATTATGGTGTTTATAGGTTGAGGGTTGCAATTAGGTAGTTCCAGTTAAGTCCTGAACATAGCAAATCTTCTTGCTTAAGGAGCCATTTTCCAGTGGCTCACTTAGCTAGTTCACACTGAAGAAAACTTACTCCTCAACTCCACCATGCTGACCAGCAATCCTAGCACAACTGAAAATTTGGGCTGTCCCGATCCCATTAGCCCCAAACATCTCCCAGAAATCTCTGAAAAGGGAAGTCCTAAGAGGTTGATGAGTGATATGCTGGCTACAGGTATGGTCCAGAGACATTTTATTGCACCTTTCCCTACAATATTTTTTCCATAATTTTATTTTTTCCATTTTCATTCACCTGTCTGTTTTCAGATGGTTGGCTCTCCTTGCCTTGTGCCTTCTATGAACCTGACCCTTGAGGGAGCACCCAGCCTTGAATTGCATCCCTTCCTTCCTCCCCCCCCCCTCTCTCTCCTGGTACTCTGAAGTCAATCCTATCTTGCTGCTGCTCTGAATACAGAGAATCAGTGGGCCTTGTACATCTTTAATAGTTCAGTAGAAGAGAGAAGTTTAGCAGATGCAGCTTTTTTCACCCTTGTCTCACAAACTGTACCTACTAAAATTCCCTATTTTACAACAGTTAAAAATACAGTATCGTCCTAAGCTTATTCTTTGCTTACCTGATCAACCCCACCAGTGGGAATGCTCCTGCCTAGCTCTTTACGATATAGACTACATTTGTTACAACAGATTATAAGCATTCATACATCCCCACACAGTTGCATCAACAGTAGAACTGCTAATTCAATCAACTTTCCTCCAAACCTGATAGCACAAAACAAAACTAATAAATGAGTCGGTATGAGAAGCAAACAAACATGTGATTTAATACATGCAGCTGAAAGGAAATCTTTTAAAAATATGTCACATTTGCTATTTGATAAGTCAGTCATTAGGAGGCAGCAGACAGCTCAAAATGTTTTCAAGAATGAAACTGCCTTCACTGTTAATCTGATTGGATTGGAGATGAAGGGGCAAGCAGTTAAAACAGATTCTGGGGTTTACCACCCTTTAGGGAAGACCTAAAAGTACTATATATGGTTTATCTAAGGCATTATCAATACAAAGATCCCATGAATGGCATCCGTACAAACAGTATGACTAAATACTCTGTTAAGACATGAAACCCACTGAGACTTAACTTGCATATAATCAGTTTCAGACTAGGGTGCCAAATGTGAAATGACATTATTCTGTTCATGTATACACACCACTACTGCCAACCAAAATAGTGGAAAGACACTGCCTTTTCTCCCTGGAACCCAAAACAAAGTAAAAACATAGCAAGTTCAAGATAGGAACTCACACTTTTAAAGCAAATCATTCTAGTTCTCATTTTAAACAGCCATTTCAATTCTCCAAGTTAATGTAGACTCAAGGAAGACTTTTACTAGGCTAGAACATTTAGTTCCTTTCTTTCTCGGCAATGTATAAAATGAAATAAAGCAAGGATGCATAATACAGTCATCTCCAAAGTTTTAAGCATTACAGTACTGTACTTAAAAGATTTTTGCAGGGAATGCTGTACATTACTATGTATGTACATTACTATTACATACAGAAACAGAAATCACGAACTTTTAAGTCTCCAGGGCTAGCAATAATTAAGTAATCATGGGCTAGAGCTACATGTTATTCTGAACTTTATTATTCTCTACAGATGATTTCCCAATGTGTAGCAGCCACATCTGTCATTCTTCTCCATAATGATCATTACCAACATGAAACGAATGTACAATTCAAACTTGAAATTATTGTATAATGTAAATATAGCCTCCTGAATCCTGCAATGAATCTTAAGCTTCCTGCCCTAGTTACTCACTAGGACTTAAACATAAATTATTGATAATGGAAAAAATAAACTTACTGTTGTGATGTTCAGACTGTTCTTTGGTTTTGAGTCAGCTGCCAGAGAGAAATCTGTTTAATAAAATAGCGAAACATCAACAAATGGGAAAGGAAGTGAAGTCCAGATTCTGGTTAAGTGTTGTTTTTCTTCTGCAACACTTCGTAAATGAAGCAAATAAACAGATAGATGGCTTTGGAGATGGTCCCGCAACATCCAAGAGATGCAACACCCCTCTTCGACTATAAAGACCGAAATGTTGTTGAGCTCTGACAGTCCAAAATGGTGAGGTCAATCAGTCTTGCTTGTTAAGTATGGTGTGTCAAAGAATAGGTCTGAAACTCCAAAATAATATTTAATGCATTTTTCCAGATCCAGATTTCTCTCTCTATCTCTCGTCCTTTCTGTCTTTCCATTCATGTTTTTATTGCCACAAAAATGCACATAGGTTTGTTCTTCCAGTGCCCTGGGTAAGGCCTGGCTCTGAAATGCATTTCAGTCTCTCAACACAGACAGCTTTCACTGCATTTAGAGTCCCACCAAGGCCCGGCTTTAAAAGCTACTGATTCTTTTTTCCCCCTTCTTCTTTAGCCTTCCTCACAAAAGAAGGGTATTTTGTAAATTACCAGCTCGTTCAGATCAACAAAAGGTACTTTCATAGAAAGCCCCATTTGATTTTGCTCAAATTTGATTACAAGGATGGAGGAAAAAGGAAAGGAAGTCAAAAAGAAAAACCCCAGATGGCTTTTTTCATTCATCTCAGTGAATGAGCTTTATCTGTGCCTTTTGAAACTGTAGCAGTGGAAAAGCATTTCTGTTGGCTTAAAAAAACTTGACAAAAATTATTGGTTTGCCATTTCTCATGTAACTGCCATTGGGAACTGGATGAAAAGACTTTTTTTCATGGGATCGCCTGCTTGGATCAAAATAATGGAGATTAGGTATTTCATTATAAATTACAGTGGGAGATAGAGAGAGGCTGTCATATTAATAGCAACCTGCTCGTGGTCTTCAGTGGTAGCTATTCTCCTAAACAAAGGACCAAGGGGGTTGTCTATTGAACTTGTGCTTTAAGGCCCGATCAATTTTCTATCATCAAGGCAAAAGGTGAGATGACGAACAAAAGAATTCACACATGAGTGACCTCATGAGCTGAGAGATAAAACAGCTTAAAGAAACAAAACACATCCTGAAATTATGGGTGATAAACTGTATAAAAGGAGAAAAAGGAAGAAAAAAGAGAGGGGGGTGGTGGTATGAGTGTTGGTCTATAATTCTTTCTTTTCTTAAGCATATGGACACATTAAAAGCTACTTGTTTTCAGGCACAGTATAATTGCAGCATTTGTTTTGCAAGGCTGTGCCTTGAATCTTGCTATGTACTCCTTCCCCAACAGGGTTCCAGTAATTTCATTCATGAGTAAGCATGCTATTGTGTTTAATGCAGAATGCCCAACAGCCATACACATAGATATGCCCACACAAAGGATTACCATTGACGACAACAACATCAGCAACAGCATACAGACAGAAAGACTGCACAGGACAGGCACTGCATTGAACAATCGTGATACCGCAGGCTGGGCCATATACATGGTGAAAATATTCTTATTAAACGAAGGACCACTTCTATGCTGCTTCACAGATATGTGGTTATATTCCCTGGAGCCACATCTTCCCAATAGAAGAAAGTATACTTTTACTGCAAATATCGCTAGTTGAATTAAAGGATAGCATGCCTGGGAAACATATCTTCCTGAGAGCCTAATAAATTGCTGCCAGTTTGGGTGATTAGCAGTGGACAAATGAACCAGTGGTCTGATTCAGTACTGTGGAATAGATCAGACTAGCTAGACAGCCAGGAGCCACCAGGAGTCATGGGCTCCTCTGTTAATGGCGCATTATCCTGATATTTGGCTGTGAAAGTCATGTGAAGTGTTTAGTACCATGCCTAAGATAACACAATGAAATGCAGAGGTGGTAAGTGTGTCCCCAGAGCGCCCTCACTCAGCTTCATCTCTGAAGGTGCTTTAATACTAAGAGGTAAGAAACTGAGCACAAAAGATTCAAACAAATCTATATAGTGTGACTGTACCTAGCAGTTCTAAAGCACGTCAAAGTGCAAGTAGAAAAATAGGTGCTGCTCCCGTGGGAAGGTAAACGGCATTTCCGTGCGCTGCTCTGGTTCGCCAGAAGTGGCTTAGTCATGCTGGCCACATGACCTGGAGGCTGTACGCCGGCTCCCTCGGCCAATAAAGCGAGATGAGCGCCGCAACCCCAGAGTCAGCCACGACTGGACCTAATGGTCAGGGGTCCTTTTACCAGTCAAAGAGAGGATATCCAATGACAATGGTTCTTCCTTCAGCTGAACCAGTACCTAATGGAAATCAAACACATTACTATATTTAATGCCCCCACAAGCACCTCCTGTTAGGCAATCCTTGAAAAAGATCTCACTCAACTTCTATTTGATGCCACCATGAATGGAAGGCACTAGGAGAAAATTTGAACTGCACTCCAGAAAGTGCTCTGGCAGGACTGAAATGGATAAGAGCCAATAAACAGAAGCTCAATCTAGGCAAAATGAAGATGCTACTAGCCTGTGGTCCATCCACCCAGGTTAGTGGTATTTCTCCTGTTTTGGAGGTTGCATTCCTCTTAAACCTTAAAGTTAGGGACTAAAGGGACAGATCTGCAATTCAGAGATGCTCCTTGATCTGCCCTTGTCATTTGAAGTACTGTAATAGATTGATCCTTTAGCACAGAGCAACTTTTACCTCTGTCAAAGATGATCTGCCCAAGACAGCAGCTCTCTCGCCCTCTTCCTTGTCTAACTGCAACACAACAGCCCTGCAGTGCTGCCAGTAGGTATTACTCTCTGGTAGTTGCTGGCATCACCCTCCCGCTTACTCTTGCAGCCCAGATGGAAGAGGACCTGGGATACACCAAAGCAATCACTTTTTAAAAGCCTCCAAGCCAGGACATCCAGCACTCCTTGGTTCAACCTACACACAAATTGCTGGGGAAAGCAGGATTAGCTTCCAGCTGCCTTATCCTAGTTCAAGATCAAAGCAGCTTGCTCGTTTCCATGGCAGACCCCACTAAACCTCCTAGAACTAAGGAACTCTGAAACCAACACATCCTGCATTTACTAGACTGTTCCCTTATATGTTACTGAGAGTGCAAAGGCAGCCCACACTCCCCGAGTCTCTCTCTGCTCTCAGAAGAATGTGCTGACCTCTTACAATCCTATTCCTAAACTTATTCTGAAATAGCATTGCCATATATCCTCTTTTTCCAGGACACATCCTCTTTTTCAGGGGTAAAAATTCTGTCCAGGCAGATTTTTTTGAATTTGCCAAAATGCCCAGGGGTGTGAGAGCAGGCTACTTTTTATGTTGCATATACAGTACTAGACAACCAAGTATGAAACATGTATGTATACTGTGTGAGTTTTGTTTTTGTATATTTTGAAGGGGCATTGTAGAATGTGCCCACTTTTGCTCCTGAACCCCCTCCCCCACCCCGCTCCAGGTACCAGCACATGTGTCCTCTTTTTTGCTCTTAAAAATATGGCAACACTATTCTGATACTTTATTAAAAAATAAAAGGTAGAAGAAAAGAAGGCAGAAGTTCAAAACAGACTACAAAATAAATCAGATCACTGTGGCTCTAAAACTGGACCAATCCCAGCCTATTCATTACAATATAACAATTCTAATTTACTTACAAGTTCAGCTTCATTAAAAGATCCCTGATGGTGGGAGGGAACACATATGCAGGGCAGCTCAGCTTTTTAAAGTCTATCTTCCCTCTCCTGGGAGGAGTCACCTCACCCCAGGCTCTTTCTTACCAAGAAAATCCAGAGTCAGCTGTGCAAGTCCCTCATGTCCCTCAGGTAAACATCTTCCTTATTCCATTTGAAGAGAATGGGAGGAAGATATGTGACAGCTTGACCTAGAGGAATGGTGGGGCAGATCTGGGCCTTTCTTCACATTACCAACATAGGTAGATAGCCTATCCTCAGTCATCCATGCTTTGACTACTGTAAGGTGTTCTATATGGGTTGCCTTTGAAGACTTCAACAACTGTAGTTAGCTCGGGATACAACTGCCAGATTGCTAACAAGGGCTTGGCATTATGGTCATGTTATACCAACTGTATTATTAATCACACTAGCTCCTAGTTCATTTCTGGCCTTGAGTCAAAAGTCTAGCTTATATTAATATTCTTAATTAAATTTATATACTGCCCTTCATCCTAGGATCACAGGGCGTACTGTATATAAACACAAAAATACATAACATAGTAACAAACAAAAAACCACCACTACCACCCAGTTTAAAAGGCCATAGATTGTTTAATTAGCCAAAGGCCTGTGAGAAAAGGAAAGTTTTTGCCTGGTGCCTAGGTAAGAAAGGTAAAGGACCTCTGATTGGTTAAGTTCAGTCAAAGGAGACTATGGGATGTGGCACAGATCTTGCTTCAGGCTGAGGGAGCTGGTATTTGTTCACAGACAGCTTTCCAGGTCATGTGGCTAGCATGACTAAACAGTTTCAGGCACAACAGAACACCGTGATGGAAGCCAGAGCGCATGAAAACACCATTTACATTCCCATCACAGTGGTACTTATTTATCTACTTGCACTGGTGTGCTTTCAAACTGCTAGCTGGGACAGAGCAACGGGAGCTCACACTGGTGCAGGGATTTGAACTGCTAACCTTCTGGTCAGCAAGAGGCTCAGTGGTTTAGACCACAGCGCCACCCTGGTGTCTAGAGATGTATATCAAAGGTGCCAGCTAAGCTTCCCTGGGGAGAGCATTCCCAAAATGAGGAGCCATCACAGAAAAGGCCTGTTCTCCTGATGCCACCCTCCAGATCTCTCGTGCAGAAGGCACACAAAGATGGGCCTCAGTTGATGACTATAGGGTCCAGGTCTGTTCTTAAGGAGAGAGGCAGTATTGCGATATTGTGGTCCTGGGTCATTTAAGGTTTTATAGGTCAAAATCATCACTTTGAATTGGACCTGGAAACTAACTGTCAGCCAGTGCAGTCAGGCTAGGATTGGCGTTTT